AACTCTGCAATGTCAATATGAAACATTAATTGTTAATGGCACACCTGTCACCTATTGGTAATACATTTGGCTGTCTGTAACCTTTAAACTATGAGGTAAATGAAAAAAACTGCAATTGATCAAAATTTTTTGCAAGTATTGGCCTATAGAACTTGACATTGCGGTATTAAAGGTAAACTGTAGTGCTAGGAAGACAAAGTTGTGTTCTATAGTAATCTATAGTGCCCCCTTCCACGTCATTATTACTTATGTGATTCCAACGCCAGTGTCATTTGGCACTGTGTCAGGCTTCGCCTTTGCTCCTCCATCGCTGACGTCAGCCAAACTGCAATAATTACAATTGCAGGGTTACAGGGCCTGGGACATTGCACCCAGACCACTGCAATGAGCGAAAGTGGTCTGGGTGCCTATAGTGTCCCTTTATTGAGTAAATCAGGAGTTTTAACTGATTTGTGTCTGAATAACGTTCTGAATTTGGAATTGTGATGACTTTGAAAACTGTCTCATGATTCTGGTCGAAATTCCAAAAACAAAACTAATTGGTTATTGGCAAAGGATTGTAATTTACACCATAATAATAGAAGATCCTCTAAGTGTAATCCAGTACAAAAAACAAGTCACACATCGACCTTAAAGGACCACTATAGTGCCAGGAGAACATACTCGTTTTCCTGGCACTATAGTGCCCTGAGGGTGCCCCCACCCTCAGGGTCCCCCTCCCGCCCGGCTCTGGAAAGGGGAAAGGGTTAAAAACTTACCTTTTTCCAGCGCTGGGCGGGGAGCTCTCTGCCTCTGATCCTCCTCCGTTCCTCCTCCTGGGCTGAATGCGCACGCGCGGCAAGAGCTGCGCGCGCATTCAGCCCGTCGCATAGGAAAGCATTTACAATGCTTTCCTATGGACGCTTGCGTGCTCTCACCGTGAAAATCACAGTGAGAAGCACGCAAGCGCCTCTAGTGGCTGTCAATGAGACAGCCACTAGAGGAATTAGGGGGAAGGCTTAACCCATTAATAAACATAGCAGTTTCTCTGAAACTGCTATGTTTATTAAAAAATGGGTTAACCCTAGAAGGACCTGGCACCCAGACCACTTCATTAAGCTGAAGTGGTCTGGGTGCCTAGAGTGGTCCTTTAATTGTAGGAGCCATCTCTTAAAGGCTTTGAAAGCAGATGAAATCTGCATTTTCGACATTAGGGATTATGGCAAAGGTTTGGTTATGATAATTAAGGATTGAAATATGACAACAACAAAAAAAGAGAATATAACACATGGGGTAAAATGGAACAATGAATTATTGCATTTGACATTAAGTATTGATTATATGAGATGTGACATCATAGAATATTTGGTATCTCACTCTCTGCTAAAGGTCTTATGGCCTTAATAACCTTAGTTTTAGGATAACACACTATTGCTGTGCTATGACAATTACAGTTAACAAAAAAAGAGATTTATCTGTAAAAATGAATTAATGACCAATGACCCCCTCCCAAATATGACCTGTTCTCAGACATTGCTTCAGAGCTCAAATTGTCTCTTAAAAAGCCATACAAAGCACACACAAAGTACTCTTAAAGTATTGTAGGTTTTACATTAAAAACCAAAACCTTTAAGAGGCGTAAGAGGTGTTTGGATCATGTCAAGAGTAAGTACACTGTGCGAATGAGCCTGATTGTGTGGGTAGGTGAGACGTCATTTCAGGGCTGTGCACCTGTCATTTTGGGAGGAAGTTGGTTTGGTTGAATAGCATCCTGTGTGGTGAGCGTAGTTGTTTGAGGTTAGTTCTTTTTTAATCATTATGTCAAAAGAACACCCACTCAGCCCTCTCACAACGCAAGCAGAAACATCAGGATCCCCTGTGCTCAGAAGGAAGGGGGAGAGAGGACCGGATAGACAGGGTTAAACTAAACAAAACCAACATTTTATTAAAACACTGTTTATGGTTGGAGTAAGCCTTTAAAATGATGCTTACATTTATCATCTTATAAAATAGTTCTAGGCAAATCCAGCAATACAATGAATATGTTTGTCATATTCTACAATGAAAGAATACCACAGACATTTGTGCTCAAAAGTGTGCATACCACCCTGACAGAAATTGTGAAATTTTGGCATTGATTTTAAGCTTCAGATATAGGATGAGTAAGTCCGAGGTGGGTGCTTAGAGGGCCTGTGTATGGTGTCGCCATGCCGTAAGGCCGCCATCACTTCCCGTCTGCCGGCTCTCTGAACTTGAGTGAGCATGTGGAGGTTTAGACGCCGTCCATGAGGAGCCGCTCGCTGCCGCAGCCTGATTTTGCCATCACGGCTCTGACCGCAGGTAGTTGGGTGCCCGTCTCTGTTCTGTCTCATACCAGGAGGTCCTCTCCCCCACTTGCCTTGCTTCTGATGGGTCTCAGTCAGGTCCGCCTCAGCTGCTGTCAAAACTTGGTGAGTCTGAGAAGTAGATTGCTTTGGTACCTCTTCCTTACCGATGCCTTCTGCCAGCCTTCGAGGCTGGGAAACCGGCCGCGTCTACTGCCCCGCATCAACCACTAGGCCACAGAATGGACCTGCCTCTGCGAGGTCTTCTGTGGAGTCTCGTTGCCCCAGCTCTGCTCCCACTGAGAGCACTGTGGTGAGGGTAAGTGCTACACCCGGTTAACACCGCTATTTCACTGAATTGATGTCTCAATTTCAGCCACTTGCTCAGAGCTCCGGGTGGATCCGACCATTCCGCTTGGCTGTCAAGCTCCGCCCCCCGTTTGGCTCATTTTAAAATCATAATGATAACATAAATCACCCAAAAGGCCCTGATCAAAAGTTTACATAACCTTGAATGTCTGGCCTTGTTACAAACACACAAGGTGACACACACAGGTTAAAAGGACAATTAAAAGATAATTTCCCACACCTGTGGCTTCTTTAATTGCAATTAGTGTATGTGTATAAATAGATAATGAGTTTGTTAACTCTCACTTCATAAAGATGGAAAAGTAAAAAGATATCCAAAGCCTTGAAAATGCCAGTCAGTACTGTTCAATCACTTATTAAGAAGTGAAAAATTTTGGAAACTCTTGATACCAAGCCAAGGTCAGGTAGACCAAGAAAGATTTCAGCCACAACTGCCAGAAGAATTGTTTGGGATACAAAGAAAAACCCTAAGGTAACAGGAGAAGTACAGGCTGCTCTGGAAAAAGTTGGTGTGGTTGTTTGAAGGAGCATAATACGCCGATACTGGAACAAAAATGAGCTGCATGGTCGAGTTGCCAGAAAGAAGCCTTTACAGCGCAAATGCCACAAAAAGTGTGACAATATGACCGACAACATCTTGATACGCCTCACAGCTTCTGGCACTCTGTAATTTGGAGTGACAAGACCAAAATAGAGCTTTATGGTCATAAGCGCTATGTTTGGAGAGGGGTCAAAAAGGCCTATAGTGAAAAGAATACCATCCCCACTGTAAAGCATGGTGGTGGCTCACTCATGTTTTGGGGGGAGGGGGATTAGCTTTAAAGGCATGGGGAATCTTGTGAAAATTGATGGCAAGATGAATGCAGAAAATACTGGCAGACAATTTGCATTCTTATGCATGAAGGCTGCAGATGGGACGCTCATGGACTTTCCAGCATGACAATGACCCTAAGCACAAGGCCAAGTTGACCCTCCAGTGGTTACAGCAGAAAAAGGTGAAGGTTCTGGAATGCCCATCACAGTCTTCTGACCCTAATATCATCGAGCCACTCTGGGGAGATCTCAAATGTGCAGTTCATACAAGACGACCAAAGAGATTTCATGACCCGGAGGCATTTTGCCAATATGAATGGGCAGCAATACCACCTGCAAAAATTAGGGGCCTCATAGACCACTATTACGAAAGATTGCACGCTGACATTGATGCTTAAGGGGGCAATACACAGTATTAAGAACTATGGGTATGCAGACTTTTGAACAGGGGTCATTTCATTTTTTTCTTTGTTGCCATGTTTTGTTTTATGATTGTGCCATTCTGTAATAACCGTGAATATGAATCCCATAAGAAATAAAAGAAATGTGTTTTTCCTGCACACTCATGTTTTCTTTAAAAATGGTACACATATCACCAATTCTCCAAGGGTATGCAAACCTTTGAGCACAACTGTACATCTAAATACAATCTCACAGTCACAAAGCTGCCACAAGGCATGGTTTGTAAAAACTGAGGCTATTTAGTTACCTGAAGTTAAATTAGCAAATTTTAGAAACTCAAAACTGTATAGAATGGTTCAAGTAAAAAAAAAAAAACTTTACAGTGAGATACTCAGATGTGGCTTGTTCTATTCCATCTACGTAGCCAGCCACTGAGCGTTCTTACAGTGTAATGGTTTAATTAATAGCTTGCAAAGTTTTCTACAGCTTCAAACACAAGAGTTCAGTTTGTAGATATGTATCTATAAACATCACAACTGGCTGACAACCACCAATATAATTTACACCAAAACTGGCATTTTAGAAAAAAATCTCAAACGCTGAAATATTGTGAACAATGCATCATTTAATGCAAATGAAAACAATTACGTTTAAAAAAAAAAAAAACCATAATCTGAACGTATCGCAAAGGATGATGTGTCAGAAGGATCCGTGGAATAAAATGTAATAAAAATTATATCTCCTCCTCTTTTAACATTTCAAGCCTCTGGTTAGTAAATCATGTTGAAGACAACATGGTAGGATTAAAAGCAAACTCTCTCTTATCATACGCTGCAAACTTGTTTATCCCTATAAATCCAATCATATAAGCTTAATAACCCCTTGCTTACAGTGGGGTAGATAGATGCTCTGAACCTGGACTGTTGATGTGTCATGAGGACTGGTTTAAGAACAATTCTTGCAAATGGATTCAATGAGTTAAATAGACTTCACCATATGTCTATACAAAAAAACACTGTGTGCAGTCTGTACGGAATTAGCCAATGGCAGAGGACTTGTGGGGAGAGAGGAATTTTTGTACAACATCCTGCCCAACAACTGCATGGGGTGTGTGGCTGTGCACGTGCAAACTGGCAGAATGGTATCCGGCCTACATATAGAAATATGTATTCCTAACCCTATGGTGTTGCTTTAAGTTACAAGACTTGTACAAGTATATTTATTTCTCATGTATTAAAGGGTTATTGGAGTCCTTTTAAAACTGCTGTGATTCTACCTTTTGGCCACCCCATATTTCATGATTCATGGGTCAATGCCTGTCCTGATACATTGTATCATGGTATTGAATATTTAGCTAGGCGTGTAATAATATTTACGAAGGCTGGATTTCCGTGGAATTTTGCCATTTTGCATGTTCTCTATTATTGTACAGGATGTCGATGACTCATAAGATTTTTCCTTCAAAGTCACTGGGATTTGCATGGCCCGGAGTCTGATTTCACACTTGCGTTATTTGCATTATTCGTACTTTCCCTGCTAGACGCAGGCTGTATCCGAGAGTAACCATTCTGGGCAGGGAATAAAAATGACAGAGGATGAGAATTAATATGTCCTCAGTGTGAAATCACAAATACATATATCAAGCTGGGAGGGAAAGATTTGGCTGGGCTGTCTTCTGTAGGTCACAATGGAAGAATTGTACAAGTGAGAATGTGACGCACATGTTAAAGTCCAATCTTCTGCTTTGAAATTGCTGGTATTATCAATTAACGATCTGCGTTAATATAGATTGTAAGCTTGTTCAAGCAGGGTCCTCTTTAACCTCTTCTTGTTCTCAATTGTAACAAGTTGTTTCGTGTTATGTCCCCACATTAAAGGAACACGAACCTGTATTCCTAACTCTGTAGTGTTCTCCTCTTTATTTATATTTATGGCCCCCTAAATCTAAACAAAAACTGGAATAAAGGGTATTACTTCCATTTTTGTTTCCACCCTGAGATTGACCCGCTACAGCAGCATGATCCGCCTTCCTCAATGTCATCCAATGCTTCTAATTCTCCAATCTAGGTGTGTTTAACCTTGCAATGTAAGCATTGCAGTATCTATTAACCTATCTATTAAAATTAGAGGACCCCTCTGCCCAGACAGCTTCATTGAGTATAAAATGGCAGAATATACAATTTACTACAACATTGCTATAATTTAGATATTGGTAGATTAAAACACAAAGGAAGGCTATTTAATTTAAAATAAAATCACAAGCACTAGTAATGATTTAGTAATTAAATAGTAAGTTAATTTTTTTATTCTTTTTGTTGTGCATTGCAAGTTTCACAGATGAACATAGACATTACATAGGGTATCATGAGAGAGTATAACTTGGACAGTATAACATATGTCTGTATCAATTCACATTTTGGTATTGGACTGTGCTGCACATTTTGAAATTAATTGACAGGCTTAATAGGTATATCAGTGGAGAGAGCTCATAAGTGTTAGCAAAGCAGGATATGCACTCTGATTATATGAGAGGTTTTGATAAGAGATGTTAGTATGCTTAAGGAGCTAGAGACATGCTACTGACGAAAGATATGCTAAACTCAATTATAGTACTGTCTTATGTGCTAATCAGTTTTAAACAGGATATCATGGTAGAATCAAACAAAATTATACTAATAAACACTTAAATCATGTTGCTATTGTTAAGTAGAGTGCTTGCCCCAGGAGGTGTCTTCTGGGTTCGATCAAGAGGGAAAGGAGATAGTAGGCCGGTAAAGCAACATGAGGTGATGGAACACCAGGACGGCAACATTTGCTCAGTTCTCTATGTGGGAGCTGTGCGTTGGAATGTAGGGAGGTCACGGGCCCTCATGGTGCTTGCCCTAGAGTCGGTCAGCCGATGCCTGCTGTGGGCATCACACAGTATTGCAGTTCAGCAAGGGGTTTCATCTTCTGGACACCGGTGTGGTTATGTGAGGCAGTTAAGTCCCTTGGGTAGTAGTTCCCAGGAACACTGTGGGGTTTCGGCAGAGTTCTGCAGTGGGTGCCGTCGGCTTCTTTCTTTGCAGTTTCTTGTGCTTGGCTGAGGTGTGTGGCCTGTTCTGCTTTCCCCGTGGGACCTTTCTCGCAGCGCGAACCCCGGTTTGGTGCTCAGTGCGTGAGGGGAGCCCTTTAGGTGAGTGGCTGCTTGTTTGCGGTGAAGCTTGGTGGAGTGCCCAGCTTTCTAGTTTTAGCCAAAAGGCATTGAAGATGGCCTCCAGCTTGGTCTGAAGCTTGGTCTGATGGCGGGGGAGGCACGTGACTTCCGCCATGTTTGGCAACTGAAATAGTCGCTGGCTTGCTTGGTGTCACCTCTCCTCTCCAGGTGCGTGTAGTCCTCCCGGGTTGGACCGTGATCACCCCCAATGATCCTGGGGGAGCAGGAGCAGTCCCGCAGGAGCAGTTGCTGGGTAGCCCCAGAACGGGAGGTCGGCCGCCTCTCCAGGCCGATGCACACAAGGCCGCATCCTGTCATAAGCTGGCAGTTCGGCTCCTAACGGGTCTCCGACCCCTGCAACCGGTTCCAGCAAGATTTGGCTTCTGAGTGGGCTCCAGCTGTCGCTTAGATA